CCGGCTGGTTCTGATGCTCAAACACCACACGGTCCGGCTGGTTCTGATGCTCAAACACCACACGGCCCGGCTGGTTCTGATGCTCAAACACCACACGGCCCGGTTGGTTCTGCCTCTGATTACCAGGTTCTCTCAGTCAGAACTCTTTCTGGGTTCTGGGTCCGTTCCAGAACCCGCTCCATCTTTTTGTGGTTACTGGATGCAGCGTGTTCCGCCCTGTGGGAACGTGTGGGCCGATGGGCGTGGCCTGATGCAGTTTATCCAATCAGATTCTTTGACGTGTGTCTCAGGCAGAAACACGTTTGAAGGAGCGTTCTCATTGGTCAAGACTTCACCGTCAGGAGAGAAGGCTCAGCCCGGTCAGATGGTCCGCAGGATGAGTTTGATCGGCGACAGGAACATGAACCAATCACAATGCTGATGTGGAGTGGGCGGGGCCAACAGGATCTGAGCCTCCAGGTGTTCCTGTGGCGGTCCGGAGGCAGATGTTTGGGTGCAGAGCGGTCCAGGTGGAGTTGGATATGAATGATGGAGCTAGCTTGGTAGCATCGCCTTTTTCAAGGCAAACTTTCTCAGAAAAGATTTACAGTAGTCCCTCGTTTATCACGGGGGATCAGTACCCTGAAGACCCGCGATAAGTGAAAAACCTCAAAGTAGAATTAGTACAGTAAGTAGTAGTTTTAGGAGAGACAGCATGTCATGATTTCAGCTCTCTGCCGCCTGCAAGCGCTCTTAGCCACGCCCACTTCACTCTGCATGAAGAACAGCTGATCAGCTGCAGGAGGAAGTTTATCCTGCAGCTCTGGGCTGCACAAAGCTACAGCAGGTGCTAAATAATTTTAAATAATTTAAATAAAAATGTCATGCTGATCGTGCAGCTCCTCAGCCAGTTGTGTGTCACGTCCAGTGTTCTTTTGAAAAACTGCGATAGAGCGAGTCCGTGATAAACGAACCGTGAAGTAGCGAGGGACTACTGTAATTCCAAACAGGAAGACCAAGTCCAGCAGTGGAACCGACGGATTAAAATGTGGAAAACGTTGAAGCGGACCTTCAGCAGCGCCACAACCAGATTCTGGGTCAGAATAAGGTCAAGAGGTTCTGAACTTCTTGTTAGCGTCAACGTGTTTCTGGGAAAGCAGGTGAAACCACCACGTGAAGACGGGCGATGCATTCAAGTACGAACTCAAAGATCACTGCAGCTGCTGCTCTAAATAAAGTTCTCTCTTTAGGGTCAAAGTGACCATTTTTAATATTACAGATGTTTTTGGTTTCATTGAATTATGAAATTTACAGGAACTAAGTTCTGTGTGTTTCAGAGGGGATTCTAAAATTTACATGTTGTACCTGAATGCACCATCAAGACAATGTCTACATGTCCATCCGTCTGTTATCCTCACACACTTCTTCCTTTTTGGGTCATTGGTGCCCATGTCCAGCCATCACTGTGCAAGAGACGGGGGACACAGGACAGGTCTCCAGTCCATGGACAGGTCTCCAGTCCATCACAGGGACACCTGGACAGGTCTCCAGTCCATCCCAGAGACACCTGGACAGGTCTCCAGTCCATCACAGGGACACCTGGACAGGTCTCCAGTCCATCACAGGGACACCTGGACAGGTCTCCAGTCCATCACAGGGACACCTAGGGACATTTTAGAGTTACCAATCAGTCTAACATGCATGTTTTTGGTCTGTGGGAGGAAACTGGAGCACCTGTAGAAAACCCACGCATGCACGGAGAGAACATGCAAACTCCTCCAGAAAGGCCCCAAGTCAGGAATTGATCCGGTGACCTGCTCGCTGAGAGACAGCCGCTCTACCACCGTGCTGCTCGTGTCTACATGCGTTGCCCTAAACAGCTGTATGTTGTGTGTTAGCACAATATTTTTAGGTAATCAGAAGCGCGGATTGCTCCGACTGTTCACCACTTTCAGCTTTTACCAACATTAGCCCGTTTGACCTCGTAAAAAGCCAAACACACGTCGATAATGTATTAGCCTTTACTAGCGTTAGCTCCTACCACAAAGTTTACAGAAGCAAACCAGATGCAGGTACAATCCACTGGTCAACAACTAACTAACACAATAAAAACACAAAATCATGACAGAACTACTCATGAAAACACAACCCTTACTGAATAACCATTGAATCCAAACTGCGGCTGCCAGAAGGGTCGGCACATCAGAAAAATAAAGCCCTTTACATCAACACGTTCTGCGAGCTTTACAAAGTGCTAGCTTGATAGCCTCCTGCTAGTCCACCTGCTAGCACGAACATTGTGCGGTCAAAGAACAAAAAGTCGTTCACACAAAGGTGTTAGGAGGGTTGGTGTTGGTGGGCCAAGCTACCTTCTTTTCCTTAGCCTCTCGGTCAAAAGCATCGTACACCGAGTCCTTGGTGATGGTCTTCGCTTGGACTGGGAGATCCACCGCACCAACGTAGTTCTTTTTGGCCATCCGGGAGCTGACAGTGATGGTGTACGCGTTACTGCGGTAGCACTTCATGGATGACGTGCAGAAAGTCTCTCGCATGCCACGCCTGAAGTTTGCATTGTAGACGGAGTACAGGGTTGGTTTGGATGCTGTGGAACCGAAGCAGATCCAGGCGATGGCTGTGAAGAACAACAGTTCCTGCCTGGTGGGTACAGCAGACTCCTTCGGGTGCCAGAGCTGAGCAACATAGAAGGGCGTCCAGGTGAGGAAGAAAACTGAGTTGAGCATGAGGAACATCTTGATGGTCTTAACTTTAGTCCGTGGTACAATGTTCATTGTTCGGCGCACCGTGTGGCCATCAGCGCTGATCCTCCAGATGTATCGAACCACCCTCTGGTAGAAGGATACAATCAACCCCACAGGGACCAGGAAACCAACCAGAAGGTGAACTGCAGCGTAGGCTATACTGCCCCAGCTGACAGGGAGGAAGAAGTCACAGTGACTGTCAGTAGATCCGTAAAAGAAGAAGCAGGGCGTGACAAAGGCTGCATCAAACAGCCACGAGGCCACGATCATCTTCTTTGCCTTTTCCCTGGACACCTTGAAGCTCAGAGGATAGACGATGGTGTAGAAACGGTCCACAGAGATGGAGAGCAGGACATACACCTGAACACCTGGGCAGAGGTGCTGCAGGTAGCGCACCAACTTGCAGGCAGCGGTGCTTAGCGGCCATTGTCCTGCAGTGACCTGCAGGAGGACAAACGGAGCACAGCCAAGGCTCATGAGCAGGTCCGCACAGGCCATAGACACCACAAAGTAGTTGGTGGTGGACTGAGTCCTTCGGCTCCTGTGGATGACCAGGCATACCAGAGCATTTCCCAGGATGGAGGTCAACCAGAGAACTCCAAACACCACACCCAGGGCAGCAACCTCGCCTGGCGTCAGCTCACTGGAGGCGGCAGTGACGTTGGGCCGGCCGGAGGACGAGGCCTCGAGGCTGAAAAGCGCAGTGGTGGGTAAGGTGGCCAGGACAGTGGAGTTCTCCCTCTTGGTCAAGTTGAAGGACATCTGATACATGAACGCTGGAGAGTACAGGGAGGGGTTCACTCCGACTCTGGTTGGTGACTGGGCATACACCATCACTGGAGCGTTGCATTAACGGTGGTCTGTGGAGACAGAGACCAGGTTCTGTATTAGTACAAGGACTGAAGGCCGGTACTGCCTAACCTACAGGGTTAACGTGCCGGGTCCCATCGAACCATCTGCTGTGACCATTTATCTGTCACACCAACAGCGGGTGAGTTTGTTTGTTTGTTTGTTTGTTTGTAGTTTAGTGTTCAGGAGGTAAATCAGGTGTTGGTACGACCGGTCTGTAGTTCTGGTCATCAAGCGTGCTGTTGGGTGTTAAAGGCTGAGATGACGCAGTTAGAAGTCCGACGGGTTAGTGAGTAGTTTGGTGAGCAGGTGCTTTGTGCAGCTGGATGTAGTTTGGTAGTTTGGACAATCACACGGTAAATGGACTGAACTTATTATCACCGACTTTCTGTCTGATCCAGACACTCAGAGCTCTTTACAACAAGCTGTCTTCATCTACACATTCATCCAGCTCTATACTAGATCTGTTCAGACTCATCACATCAGACACTGATGGGACACACATCACAGGCAGAGGGGTTCAGTGTCTTGCTCAGGGACACTTCAGCATGTGACTGCTGCTGGAATCAAACCCCCAACTCTCCCATTGGAGGACGACTGCTCTAACCACTCAGCCACAGCTGCCCACCCCCCACCCCCAGTGATACGTGAATGTTTGCAGAACCAGCACCAAAGCAGCTTCTCCTGAAACTCCAACTCCCAGCAGCCCAATGGAAGCAGAGCTGTGACCCCAGCACGCTTTTATTTTGAAGAGGAGCTACAAGTTTTATTTTGAATCAGCAGGTTAGAACCTCTTCCTGTGTTTTCAGGACTTTAAATCCTGAATAGAGGGAAAAATAACGGTTAAAGGTCTGAGACCGGACCTGATCAGAACCACCGCTGTGGTCGAGGAAACCGTCTGAAGAAAATACATTTCACAACAAAATCTCTTCAGGGGGAGCGTTAAAGTCCAAGAAGGTCTAAAGTCGTTAAAAATTCATTCATCTGTTTGGACCCGACTCAGAACTCAGAACCAACATCAGCACAAGCAGCTGATTTCATTAGTCCTTCACTGGGACCTGGTCTGGGCTCTGCAGGGACTCCTGGTCTCCTCTGAGGATGAACATCAAGGAGCCCAGGAGAAACAGCTCGCTTCTCTTGTTCTGCTGACTGGGTCTTCATCGTCCTCTGCTCACGAACCCTCGAAGAACCTCATCTGTAAATCATCTGTAAATCATCTTTAAATCATCTGTAGATGATTTTAAAATCATCTGTTCTCCACCTCACTGAACCATCACCTCTGGAAGCCTCGACTGAGCTGTGCAACAACTTCCTACATCTCTTTTTGGAACAAATTGCGACCACCAGGGCTCTCATTTCCCCTCCAACTCATGACCCATCCATCCCACCTCAATCTGTAGCTCCTTTTGACCATTTTGAACCATCACTCTATCTTCTCTAGAGCAGGTCATGTGCAGCTTGAAACCTTCTGGTTCCCCCTTTGATGTGGTCCCCCCTCGACTACTAAAGGAGGTGTTTCCAACTCTAGGTCTGTCCATTCTTGATATAGTAAACAGTAGTTTATCCACTGGCGTGGTGCCAAAAACCTTTAAACGTGCTGCTGTCCAGCCTCTCCTGAAAAAACCAAACCTTGACCCCTCAGTCGTTTCCAACTTCCGGCCTGTCTCCAAACTCCCATTTGTTTCTAAAGTACTGGAGAAAATAGTCGAGTCCCAGTTGAAGTGCTTCCTGGAGGATCACACCATCTTAGAGCTTTTCCAATCTGGCTTTAAACCTCTCCACAGCACTGAAACTGCCCTGCTGAAGGTCTTTAACAACATCTTCAGATCCACAGATACCGGTGATTCTGTGCTGCTTGTCCTGTTGGACCTCACAGCCGCCTTTGACACCATCGACCATGAGATCCTCATTGCTAGGTTGGAGCAGTGGGTGGGCGTCACAGGATCAGCCCTCAAATGGTTCAGATCTTACCTCACTGACAGATCCTTTTGTGTCTCCATCAAGGATTTTAGTTCTGCAGAGGCAGAGCTTAAATGGGGGGTTCCGCAGGGTTCCATCCTGGGTCCCCTCCTATTCTCTTTATACCTGCTGCCACTTGGTGCTATTTTCCAGAAACACAACATGCTCTTCCACTTCTATGCCAATGACTGTCAAATTTACTTCCCCCTAAGACACAATGGTACATGCTCTATTCAACCGCTGCTCAACTGCCTGGCTGACATCAGGGACTGGATGGCTTTAAACTTCTTAAGTTTCAATGAAAAGAAGTCTGAAGTCATGTTGTTCCCTCCCAACGACACGATCACAAACCACTGCATCGACCTCTCCGCTCTAACCCTGTCAGAAAAACAAAGAGTCACTAATCTGGGCGTGATAATGGACCCTTCCCTGAAACTTAACAGTCATGTAAACATGATTGTAAAATCATGCTTCTTCCAACTGAGGCGGCTGTCTAAACTGAAGCCCATATTGTCCAAAAAGAACCTGGAGACAGTAATACATGCATTCATTACTTCTAGGCTTGATTACTGCAATTCACTCCTGTTTGGTATCAGTCAGACCTCCATTGCACGACTACAACTGGTCCAGAATGCAGCAGCCCCATTTTTAACCAGTACAGGCAAAAGAGAGCACATTACACCAGTTTTGGCCTCACTGCACTGGTTACCAGTTCACCTTCGAATCCAGTTCAAAATACTCATGTATGTCTACAAATCACTGAACAGTGTCCCCCCCCCCCCCAATCTCTCTGATCTGCTACAACCGTATGTCCCACCACGCTCCCTGAGGTCAGCAGACCAGTTGCTCCTCACAGTTCCAGGAACTCATCTTAAGTGCAGAGGTGACAGGACCTTCTCTGTAGCAGGACCAAGACTTTGGAACGAGTTACCTCTGCTTGTCAGACAGGCCCCTCCCTCTCTGTTTTCAAGTCCTGTTTAAAAACTCTCTACTATTCAGCAGCTTTCAACACCAGATGATCTGTGTTTGATCCTGTATGCTCCACACTGGTTTGTCGTCATTATCTGCATCGTTTTTATGTCTATATTCTGATTTACTTCATTTTGTATTTTGCTTTGTGTGTTACCTGTTGTTCTGTCTGTACAGCACTTTGGTTGGCCTTGTAGCTGTTTTAAGTGCTCTATAAATAAAGTGGTATGGTAAATCATCTGCAGATCATCTTTAAATCATCTGTAAATCATCTGCAGATCTTTAAATCATCTACAGATCATCTTTAAATCATCTGTAAATCATCTGCAGATCTTTAAGTCATCTGCAGATCATCTTTAAATCATCTGTAGATCATCTTTAAATCATCTGTAGATCATCTTTAAATCATCTGCAGA